GGGCTAAGAGGAGTGGGGGGTGGGAAAGCGCACACCGCAAATTACCGGCTGTTTTGTCTCCCTCTGGATGCTCCGTGAGGCTGCTCTCTCGTACCCCCATTCGCTGGTCTCCGATAGGAGTCCAAGATGGTGGATCCGCGCTGCGTTAGCTGGAAGGGGACCTCTGCTTAGCATCTGATTTTGACAGTGTGTTTTCACGACATTTTTCGTATGACTTTATGCTACCTCAATGAAACCCAGAACTGTCCACTAACGCAGTATTGAATCAATTTTTACCTTGGAGTATTTATAATGAAAATTTGTGTGTCTGTTGCTTATGGAGAAGGATTTTAATTCCCCGAGGATACACATTTTATTAATCTTGTACTTCATGGCAGAAATTTTTGTTTTTTGAAAATATCTCTCAATTTTAATTAGCCAAATTTCAAACTGTATTCATGAGAATGAGCTTGCATCATTATCATAATCTTTGTGAGTTAGAGCGCCTACCAAATATTTCAGAGACATCTTTAATCTTTTGATCAGAAAACATTTTTTAATTTAGCTTTAGAAAAATATATTGTGTCTACTATATACAAAACATTTTTGTAGGCTTTGCAGATTTATTGAAAAGTTCATTCATCCCACAGATGTGGATAAAACCATTCACTGTCCTGTGCTAGGTGCCTGGGATACCGTGATAAATGGTGAATAGAGATTTTCCTTAAAGGAGCTTACTAGCCAAGTTGGAGAGAAAGACATGCAAGCAGAAAATTACAAAATGGGGCACATTACAAAGCCTTGGGCTGCCAGGGAAACTTTCTAGATGAAGCACCATCAAAACTGGGGCCAAATGATAAGTGGGAATTTGCCAGATTAAGCACGTTGGTAGTGGAAGGGCATTGAAAAAATGTTCTCCAGGTAGAGGATGCCCCCATGCACAACAAAGAGAATGAGTTGTGTGTGTCATGTTGGTTAGGATCATTGAGTGACCTGTTCCATGAGGCTGGTTTGATGAAGAGTATGTAAGCTGTAGATGTGTTGGCAAGGAGTTTGAATTTTATTCTGGGGGGTCTTACACTTTCCTGGCTGTCTTCCTACTTCACTTTATCTTTTAGGCTTCCTTGCTAGCTCCTCCTCTAACTTGCTGTTAAATATTGGAATTCCTCCGGATTCAGTTCTAGGCCCTCTTCTCTCCTTGTTCTTCCCCTTCTCCTCCATCAGGCATATCCATGGGTTTGTTTACTAGCTAGCTTAATGATTCGTAAGTCAATTCTGAATTTACAATCTTATTTCTCCCAAACCTACCATCATCCTTATCACTTCAGTTTCCTTAGGACTATTCTCCCTGATTACTCTTCCTGCATCCTGGATGCCTCTCAGTTCTTGGAACCTGCCAAGCTCCTCCTGTCTCAGGGACTTTGCACAGCTCCTGTTCCCTCTGCCTGAAATGCTCTTTTCTGAACTCACTTTGCTATCTACTGCCCACTCGTCTTTCAGTTCTTGCCTTAATTATCACTTCCCTCTTCCTGACCTCGCTCCAGTCGCCATTTTATGATTTAGTAGCATGCTGCACTTCTAAGCTGTACTTTGTAAACATTGCTTTTTAATACTGCTTTCCCCACTAGACTTTAAACTCTCTGAGGGCAACAACCATCTGTGTTTGTGACATCCTTATATTAAAGCACTTAGCAAAGGGCCTGCACCTACCACGGGGCCTTAATAGACGCAGTGAGCTGCTTGAGTTAGGATAAGGAACCATTGAAGAATTTTAGTAGCAGAGGGGCTTGATCAGATTGGCTATTAGAAAGCTTTTTCTGCTGGCAGTATGGAGAATGGATTGGAGTGGGGCCAGGACTAGAACAAGGGAGATTAGTAGGTGGATGTTACCACTAGAAGCTTATAGCCTCATAGCAGATATATGATACAGACACAAAGATTTCAAATGTTCCTTGATCAGCGGCTCAAACAATATCATCAGAACTCTCTTTTTATCTCTTGGCCTGCTTTACTCCATATGGGCCCGTTTGCCTACAGTCACTCTCTTTTTGAACAGTAGCAGGTACAGCCTTCATCTCCCCAGGCTTCATCCAGTAGAAAAGAGAGCCCACCTAATGGTCATCTGAGCAAATACCGAGATTGGCTCTGATTAGACCATGTATACATCTCTGAAATAATTATTGTTAATTGTTGCCAGGGGCATTCTGGGTGCTGATTGATGAGTCAGGATGCATCTTCCACGCTGGAGCTGGGGCAGTAGTACACTGGTAAATTGGCTAAAAAAAAAAAAAAGACTTTATTTGTAGGATTTTCCTGTTTCTGTGGTATAAATGCTCCCACAATGGCTGATTTCAAGATGCCTGGCTTGCAGAGTTCCTGAATGTTTTAACAGTTTCAGGGCTCCAGCACACCATCACTGAGCTGAAGGTGGAGCTGTCTGAATAACAATGGCTGATGGTGAAAGAAGGAGTAGTGGTCTAAAAGAAAATCAGAATACTGTTAAAAAAAGGAGGGATGGGTGCTGGCTAGCCCAAAACCAACAAGTAAATATGTACTGTTTTAATGAATATGTACTTTGATGTCCTGATTTTATTTTCTCAAGAATTTTTTAGGAGTTATTATATCATCATCTTGAATAACATTTTTAAGAACTGAACAATATTCCAGACACCTGGTGGCGTAGTGATTAAGAGCTTGGCTGCTAACCAAAAGGTCAGCAGTTCGAATCCACCAGCTGCTCCTTGGAAACCCTATGGGGCAGTTCTACTCTGTCCTGTATGGTTGCTATGAGTCAGAATTGACTCGGCAGTGGGTTTTTTTAAATACAATATTCCATTTTGTCAAAGCACTGTCATTTACCATTTTTTATTGTTGAACATTTATAAATATAAACAATTATAAATAATGCTTTGCTGGACATGTTTATGCCTAAAGTCATTTTCCACATTTCCACATGAGATAGTTTGCTTAAGTGAGATCACTGGGTCAAAAGAATAACCTTTTAATGCTTTTGATAAATACTGTCAAATAGGTGTCAAAAATTTCTAACACCCCAGTCGTTGTAAGACAGCCTCTATGTCATTGCATTGTCTTTAAGAGTAATTAAAAAATGAATGATAGGACAAAATTGATACATCATTTTAATTTACGTTTATTTGAATTACTAAAAATGTTGAACATGTCTTTTTTTTTAATTGGGTGTATTTCTTATATTGAGTTTTCTTATTTCCCGTGTGTGTGTGTGTGTGTGTGTGTGTGTGTGTTATTGTATTTCTGTCATAGGTGTTATCTGTGCTGGAAATTCTAGCACAGAGCGCGGCTTAGTAAATGTTGAGGGGATGTTGTATATGAAACTCTCTTTAATTATGTATAATTTAGGGTAATATTAGTTGCTCTGATCAATAAATCCAAATTCACAGTGAGTTAGCACAATAAAAGTTTCTTTGTTGCTCATGTCAGAGGCTGATATGTGTGTTCCTGGTTGGGCACCATCCAAGTAGTCATTCGGGCCCCATCTTAGCTGGGCTCCTTCTATCTCATGGCTTTACCCTCCACGAGGTCCCTGTGGTCCTTTCCATCTAGTGGGAGGATGGCAAAAGGAAATGGAGGACAATACGTGGGAGATTTATGGGTTAGGCCTCAAGTACACCATCCCATTTGCTTACATTCCATTAACTAGAGCCCAGTCATCAGGCCACTACTAATTGCAAAGGAGAAAAGAAAAAGGATTTGGTGAACATCCAGCCAGTCTCTGCCTAAACGTCTGTACCTGAAGTGGAGGAATCTTTTCATAAAGTTAGATTCTATTCACTACTTACGTTACTTGAGTATATTATCCAGGAACCAATCGCTCATGTAACATGGATTATTTACAAGATTTAAATATGGAATAGAAGTTTTCAAATAATAGTAAGAGATTCATTGCTTTTTGAAAACTCTTTTAATAGATAAGAGAAGTGGGGAAATGACGTTGAATGACCGTTGAAGGGTCTTTAGCTTAGACACTGAAGAGAGTGGAAATTTTGGGGCAGAGTGACTTTGACAGATATAATAAATAAGTCTTAGATAGGTAACTTTCATTCATTGTATAACAAAATCATGTGTACAAGAAACTGTACAAGGAATAACTTGTAATCAGTTGAGCTAGTAAGTTTGCTGACTTATTAGAATGATATTTTAATAGAATATTTTAGCTCTTTTCCCTGTTTCTTTCTACACAGGTAATTAAAGTATATAGTGAAGATGAAACCAGCAGGGCTTTAGAAGTACCCAGTGACATAACTGCCCGGGATGTTTGCCAGCTGTTGATCCTGAAGAATCATTACATTGATGACCACAGCTGGACCCTTTTTGAGCACCTGCCTCACATAGGTCTAGGTAAGGGTACAGAGTCGTAGTCTTGCATCATTGCTTTTCTATTCCTTATAGTGTGGCTTATATGGCCAAGATTTTTCTTCAGATGTAGAAAAATGGACAGAAGGGAATTATGAGTACTCCATTTCTTTACTCTTTTATTTTGGTTGATGATGCTTGAGAGACAGAGCAGCTCAAAATGGAAACGAGGACAGAAATATTATAAATTTATACCACCCCTCTTTGTTTAAATAATGATCTGTGGGAATTTTGGAGCTAAAACATAGAATCCAAATTTATGGTAAAGCTAAAGAAATTTCAGAATAATCTTTAGTAGCATAATGAATTTTTTTGAGCAATTAATAAAATAAGTTGTTTTTTGGGCCATTTTTTGAGTTGGTTGTAGTGTAGACAAGGGACGTATCCATAGAAGTGCTTCTCTTTATGGGAGTGACCCCCTAAAGTTTTTTTGAAGAAAGAAGTAACTCCTGTACATTTTTAGGTCGGCAACATAAAGAGTAAACTTTTTATTTTAATTGGAAATGCATCTTTATGTAGTGAACTGTGGGGAGCTTTTTTTCCCTCAAATCTTTTAATAAATTATCAAAGACTTCTCATTCTTCTAGAATGACAATAATTTTATCCCCCCCCCTTTTTAAATTATTTTTTATATAATATTTTATTGTATTTTTGGAGCCCTGGTGGTGGTGTGGTTAAGAGCTGTTACTGCTAACCAAAAAGTTGGCAGTTTGAATCCACCAGCCAGTCCTTGGAAACCCTGTAGAGCAGTTCTACTCTGCCTGTAGGGTCAGTATGAGTTGGAATCGACTCAACGGCAACAGACAGCAACAACAACATTGTATTTTTGGTGAAGTTTTACACAGCAGTTTAGGTTCCCATTCAGCAATTTCTGTACAAGTTGTTCAGTGACATTGGTTACATTCTTCACAATGGGTAAACATTCTCATTATTTCTTTTCTGGTTGTTCCATTTCCATTAATCTAGGTTCCCTACCCCCTTACAGTCTCATTTTTGTTTTAAAGTAATTGTTTACCATTTGGTCTCATATAGATGATTTTTTAAAGGAGCACATTACTTACGGGTGACATTCATTATTTTTAGAGCCAATTTGTTATTTAGCTTCAGGGTGACCTCAGGGGTTAGTTTTGGTTCAAGGTTGGAAGAGTATCTGAGGGCAGTAGTCTTGGGAAGTCCTCCAGTCTGAACCAGTCCAGTAGGTCTGTTTTTTTTTTTTTTTGGTACTATTTTGAGATTCTGTTTCACATTTTTCTCCCATTCTATCAGGGTCCGTCTGTTGTGGCACTGATTAGAGTGGTCGGTAGTGGTAGATGGGTACCATCTAATTCTCCTGGTCTTAGGGTAGATAAGGCCATTATTTGGGTAGATTATTTGTCCTGTAGACTAGTTTCTTATTTGAGTCTTTGGTTTCCTCTTTCTCTTTTGCTCTGGACGAGGAGAGACCAATAGCTGTATCTCAGATGGCCGCTCGCAAGCTTTTAAGACCCTAGACTACTACTTATCAAACTAGGATGTGGAACATAACTTTATGTACCATATTGTGCCCATTGACTAAGATGTCCCACTAGACTGTGGACCTAATCATTCAAACCCAGAAATCCAATCCCTTGAGGTGTTTGGTTATGTCTAAGAAGTATCCGTAACTGTGCCCTCTTTGTGTTTTATTATATATATGAATATATGTGCAAACAGTCACATAGATGCATATACATATGCACACACCTATATACACACACATATGTACATACCTATACACATGTATGTCTGCCTACATATATACCTGCACATATATTTTTTGGTTGCCCCTTCTTTTTATTCTAATTTTTGCAAATATAATTGCTAAAAAATGTGTTCACCTAAGCAGATGAAAATGGAAGGAGTTTGTAATAGCCATGCCATTCAGTCCTTTGACATCTGTATTAGTTTCCTAAGGATGCCATATAACACATTATTACAAACTTAGTGGCTTAAAACAACAGAAATGTACTCCAGAAATCCAAACTAAATCTTACAGGGCTAAATCAAGATATCTCACTCCCTCTTGAGTCTCTAGGGGAGAATTTGTTCCTTGCCTTTTCCAGCTTCTGATGGCTGCAGCACTCCTTGGCTTGTGGCCACATCACTCCAGTTTCTGCCTCCATAGTCACATTGCTTTCTCCTCTTCTGTCTGTGTCAAATTTCCTTTTACCTCTCTCTTTTAAAGCCACTTACAATTGCATTTAGGGCCCACCTGGATAATCCAGGATAATATCTCCATGTCAAGATTCTTAATCATATCAACAAAGTTTTTGCCATATAAGGTAACATGCACAGGTTCCAGAGATTAGGACGTGGATATCTTTTGTGTGGCCATTATTCAGCCTATCATAAGCTCCTTTATTATATGTCAAAAACATTTAGTAATAAATCATCAAAAAGTGACAGCTCAATTAGTCCTTCAATTTGCTTAAAGACTTATGAAAGAATTTTATACTTAGTCATTAGAGTTATTCACTTTCTCACATAGACACCAATATATAAAATTTTCCTTTTCTTTGATGCATTAGAGGTTTTTACACCCCAGAGCAATGCACCATAGTAAAATTCAGTTTGGATGAGAGATTTGCCTTTCTCTTATAAAATGGAGTTAAAGATGACGTTGGTGGAAAAGGAGATTCTGGAAAGTGACTCACTTAAAACTACCTGTGTTCCCTGAACATTCCAGAAAGTTTGTGTGCTTCCAATTTGAAGATTGCTGTCCAAGGATATGTCACAATCTCAGGGAGCGGACAGTGGGAAGTTTGTGGAGAAACTTGCATAGTTTGACAATCTCCATAGAGATTCTGAACCTCAGCTGTCCCCGGTTGATAACTGTTGATGAGCTATGACACTGCCAGCTGATCCTGACAGCTGAGCATAGGTCGTTACATACCTGCCAGCCAAGAAATCTGCATTCTGAAGGCACTCAGCAGTGGCCAGTGTGACCTGCAGTCTCACCTTCTGAGGGCAGAAAAAGCTTGGAATATATTTCCTTCATTGCCATCTGTGACTAATTTAATTTTTATTCATTATAATCATCCAGAAGTATGGTGTAAATTAATAGATGTCAATCATATTCTGAACTATTCCATTTACGAATATCCATGTACGAATATCGCTCTTGATTAACATAAGCTATAATTACAGTATTTTATACTCCTAAAAATTTCTTTTGGCAGACAGATTTTTTTTTTTGTTATAGTCGCTACAGTTTATCCCCAACAAATAGCTTGAAGTTAAGTAATAAAAATCTCCTCTATAAATCAAGCAGCATTTTCATTGAGACCATTGCAAATTATTTATATTACAGAATAAAATGCACAACTCTTTTACTGTAGAAGCTTAAAATGGAACATTGAGAATTAATTTTAGCTACATACTAAATTTAAAGTTTCAGACATCAAGTAAGGAATATAAGTATATTTCTTCATTATTCTATTTTCTGGAAACTGCTGAAATAAAATCAAAGATGTGAGAATATTTTCTCATGGCTTCATCAACCATGTATTAGTCCAAAGCTTATGAGAAATTTAGTTCCAGAGCTTTCTTGTCTCCTTTTTCTTTTTGTTTTCTACTCATAGAAAAAGCAGCAGAAAAAGATTACAAACATTAATCCTACCCCAATACTAACATTTATTAGACTTAACAGCTTCCATTTCTTGATCTAGCAGTATAGCAGGAGTTGAGGTGCCATGTTCTTCCTCAGCCGCAAACATAAAACTGATGTGTCTTTGATTTTTCTTACATAGCTTATAAATACTCTTGTAATATTTATTCAATCTAATAGAAGTATTAAGTAATATTTTCCTCATATGCATATTAAAATGAATAAAAAGAGAGGTTTTTTTCCCCTTTTGAACATAATATACACTTGCAAATGCCCTTTGTCAACAGAGTGGGCCGTGGACACCTCCACCAGCAAGTCTTCTGTGGAATGCTACAGATAAAAAGAACCGAGGGACAAACCATTTACCAAAACTTTGATGACCAGCAAGTCCAATCTGCTTATTGTTCAGGAAATGTTCTTGACCTCTCTTTAACCAAGAGGATGAGTTTTCAGTGAATAGAATTCTAAAAAGGAGGGGATGGTACTTACTTTTTTAGATTTATATCTGCAAATATAATTCAGCTTTTTGCAAATAACTTATTATCTTTATTTTTAAGAAGTGGACAGTATCATTCAAAATTTTACAACACTGAGACAACTTTTATTAGCATTTAAAAAAAACTCTTGAATTATTTTCTATCTTTTAACATAATCTCCCGTTATATTATTTATCCACTTTTATAGACTACCTTCTGTGGGGTTGGTTTGTTTGTTTTTTGCACTTAAAAACACATCCTAAGCATTTTTAGTTTTTTTTTTTTGTTGTTGTAATTTTTTTACTTTATAGATTCCACAGAAACTCTCCCTGCTTTCACCTGTTTCCTTCCCCAACAAGTTGAACAAATATTTATTGAATGACTGCTTAGTGCCAAGTCTATTCTATATTCTGGATCTTGGGGATTCAGCATGAACAAAACAGACAGAAATCACTGCCTTTCTGAGTTTGCGTTCTAGTGGAGGAAGAAAGATAAGAAACGAATACAATCTGTATTCTGTTATATGGTAAGCACTCAGGAGGAAAGGAAGGTGGTGAAGAGGGGTAGAGAGTGCTGAGATGGATGGGGGAGATGTGCTTTAAACAGAAGGATCAAGGAAGGCCTCCCTGGGAGGATGACCTTTGACTAGAGACCTTGAGCAGGTGAGGAGGCAAGCCTTGCAGTTCAATGGAAAATGATTGTTCTAGACAGAGGGAACTGTAAGTAGAAAGGCCCAGACATGACAATGTGCTTGCCATGTACAGGCAAAGAGGCCAGGGTGTCTGGAGTGGAGTCAATAGGGTGGAAAGCAACGGGAAAGGACTTCATAGAGCTACTGCAGGGCCTCATCATGTAGAGTTTCATAGGTCACTGAGAGGACTTGG